CAAGGTCAAATAACCCATTTTTGACTATTTACACTAGAAATGAAACAATTCATAACTGCGTCAGAATCCATCCAATCTACTTCAGAACGTCAGGAAATACTCTATTTTATCCGCTCATTCTCATTCTGCATATACAACCAACAAAAAATATTCTTTTAGTTCGGAAGGTTTTGGGGAAATCTTTCTAGAAGCCGAAGTATTTTCTCTTGATTTGTTCAACATTTATTGAGCTTTATGGTATGCGCTGGATATTCAGCGTATTTCCTGACGTTCTGAAGTAGATTGGATGGATTCTGACGCAGTTATGAATTGTTTCATTTCTGGTGTAAATAGTCAAAAATGGGTTATTTGACCTTGTCACTCGGTTCTTGCATTTTGTTCCGAAAGCTAACGTTACCACGAGATGCAGCATAGTCGGTAACCTATGTTTTCATTCATTTCTGAGAGTCCCAAATCTAACGGAAGAGGAGTGCTAAGACTTCATGGAAAATGTTCATCGCTCTCGAGCCCTGGATTCACAAGTTGCCGCTTAGTCCCAGTTTTGTAGAGAATACTTCGGACTGTATATCTATGAAAAAAATCTATTGGTTTATATGTCAGATTTGAGAAAGCCGAACTGGTTTTCCATGGATCCTCTCTGGAAAGCCAGTTTCGAAATTTTTTCCAAAATTTAGTTTTACTTATGGCATGGTAGCTTCAGGTCTTGGCTATTGAATGGTGAAACCTGCAAGTCTTTATCTTTTATTTCCTTTGAATTATTCAAACAATAATCACAGGCCTACCTTTTTGGAACGTATAGTAGCGATGTTAAAGAAAAAGCTGAATTTTAAGAGAACAAAGAGACTGACCGTCCGGAAACGGTTTTCTCTTAGTCATCAATGTTAGCATTATATAACCCAATAACGGAAGAAAGATCTCATTCAAGTTTATTTTGTTCGAAATTTTCACTCACACCGTACAATGCCAGCAGAAATCGCACACATGTACACGCTGTTTCTGACTGACACAAACAATAAATAGGGGTAACTTCAATATTTTTTGAAAATTTGTTTTTCGAAAAATGTGTTTTTTCTTAAAAATGATTTTCGGCGTGATATAAAATTACTTCTGAGCAAAATAAATCCGTTTTCGAGCAGGAAAGTCGCATGCTCGCTTGCCATGCGAAAAATGCACACTGTGCAGGAATACAAACACTTATAGGCTCTTATGAGTGTTCCTTGTTCCATTCTTGAATCAGACAATTGTTTGATGATATTTTAGAAAACCGTTTAGTCGAATTTCATCTGTACCTAATATAGAATTAAATTCAGCCATCTGTTGAGCAAAGATTAAAGACTTTGTATGTATATAACTACACACACAGTCCATATCAACATCATAGATAAAATTGTCGAAAGCCTTCAAAATAATAATTGGTCGAAAAAATCTCAAAATTGGCTCATTATGTAGAGAGCAGTTAGTGAATTAATTTTGGCGAACTATTCTCTACAATATCCTATTAATTATTGTAGAAAATAGGTTTTACTAAAACGTTGAAAATCCGTGTAGTTTGAACGGGATGGTTCCAATTAGACACATATTTCGCTGTACGGTTCCCATTAGACACAGAGCCTAACTGGAGCCTCTCCTTAGTAAATCTCCCTGAGATCCGTCTCCGATGGAAATTTCGGAATAATTTTTAGATCATTAAATAGCTAAGACTTTCAGCTACAAAAGCCCCCAAATGCGGTGAAAATCGCTTCAAAATTCACTCGGATTCTAAAGTCACAAGTTAGACAAATCTGGTTGCGATTCCCATTAGACATTTTACTCTAATACTTTTATAAAATTTTGTCCTTATTCTATTACATCTTTTATTTCGTAATCCTTGACATTAATCAGGAAGCATGTGAAAATTTAAATTCTAATTTATTTTATTTTATTCTGTATAATTTCGGTTTCTTTGATTGTATGTGGATACATACGGTTTACGCTCGATTCGTCCCAAATGCTCACTCTCACACCTGCTCGCCCCTTTGATGTTGTTTGATCTTACAAAGCCAATTTGACGAACTGAGAGGACACCGATACATACATCGGCATACTTCCAATTTGTTCGTTTTTAACAGACATCTTTATAAAAGCAGACATTTTTCTGTTTAAAAAATAAAATCAGAAAGTAAAAAATTTGTAGTTTCATCAAATATTCAACTTTTATATATTCAAGGAGGAGAGTGCTCACTCTAAACTTATTTCGTATTGTATCAGCTTCGCGAACTAACATATCCAAAAGCAAAAATCATTTTTCGAAGTAAAGCATTGACTATCAAGCTTAGAAATGGTAACAGCACCTTTTAATTTCAAAATATCGTTAGAAATAATAATAAAACGTTCCAGGTGATTTTCGAATTGTTATATAGAAAGTTTTCATCTTTTTTCTCCTTTCGCATAATTTGCGTAGTTTTCTTCGTTGAAGTTCTGAAATTACAGTTTAGGTATGATTTTGTTGAAAATTTCACGGCGCATCGTATGAAAAAATAAATATATCATAGCGTTGAAAAGAGAAAAATTTATAGTTAAAATATGAAAAGTCTCATTTATTATGAGATACCCGGTATATGTGGGCAAAACTACCGCTATTAGTGTACGCGAGATAAGCCTGGAGTGATGGCTCTACAAGTTCGATTGGATTTTATAATATTATTGTCGAACCGAGCCTAGTCACGAGGCTCTATCTCGCAAGCTGTGGCGAGTGCAAGCCAGGGAAAGGCACGGCTCGCCCATCTCTGGAGTGTATCTACCAACAGAAATATAGTTTAGATAACGAAAACGAGATCGTTCTCTAACAAACTTCGATTTTTTCATGTGGCGTATCCAAGTTATCGTTTTTTTAAGCAAAGATCCAGGTCGAGACAATTTTGAAAACTTATTCTGATCTCTTATTCCAGCTCAACATATGGAACTATCTATAGTCAACTGTCAAATGTTTTTGTACATGCAAAGTTGTCGATTGCCTATAGAATTGTTTGAATGGTAATTTAAACGATTAACTATCTTACGAAGGCATGTCTGATTTTATACAGAAGCGCAAAGTAGGAATGCACTCAAACTTTTTTCAAAACGTTTCGGATAATGTGTATCTTTATCTCTTACTAAACCATCAGTTATGTGGGGTCTGTACAATTTTGTCTCCTGCATATGAATACATTTTCAGAACGGATGGGATCTGGATATAGTTTAGCACATGTCTCTCAAAAAATAGTCATGCAGTAGTTGCCTAAATCAAAAGAACCATTATATCATATCATATCATTCAACAATGAACTACTTTCTGAAAAAAAACATGAACGTGGCTATATGAAGCTAGACTATTTGACACAAAGTTGACAAAAGACAAATAGTGAAAATAAAAATAAAAATATAACAAAAGATAACATAAGAAAAATATATTCTTTGTTTTTATGTCCGCCATTCTGGAAGGTAACATGGTGCAGATATAAATCGATAATATTCATCAGTATCATTTTCATCATTTTGTTGCATCAAATTAAGATCTTTATGATTACTACAATCTTCGTTTTCATTTAAATCGTCTAGAACAGTGCCAGCAGCTTTCAACATTGACTGACCACTTTTATCCCATGTTGCTAGTATATCCGGCGGTATACGTAAATGTTCTTGAGACATACCTAAAAATAAAACAAAATTCTAAATAGTCAATGAAAACTCACTTTATTGTAGAATTTAAAAGATATTTCACTCATTCTTCTTCGCTTCTATCATTAATTTTCTTACTTTGCCATTTACTTTTGCTAAATACTGAATCATTAGCGCAAAATCGACTTTTTATACGGAGAACAGAATCAATTCAAATTTTTTTTCTAAAGAACTTATTATATGAATCGACGGTCAGCAAAGTATCTCTTGATTCAAATCACTTTTCGCGTTTTGAATCAACAGATACTTTACTGACCGTCGATTCATATAATAAGCTCTTTAGAAAAAAAATTTGAATTGATTCTGTTCTCCGTATAAAAAGTCAATTTTGCGCTAATGATATATATGTTTTATCAATTTTAAACCATTGTCCATTAGCCAAATATGGATTTAAACCTATCAATTCTTTAACCTAAACAAAAACCACAAATATATTTGAGCCAGGTGCCCGTCAAAGAAGCTTCGTACTATTTTCGGACTGAAAACTAGACAATGCACACATCTATAAGGGAGAGAGTAACAAATATATTTTATGATTAATTCTATAACTTCTCTCTCGTAGAAAATAGGAACTCTTGAAAAATCTGTAAGTCGGAAATTCGATATAACCTTGCCATTACAGGAAGAGAGGAAGATCTACAAGTAAGTGTAAAGTGTTTAGACTCAATCTCCTACCTAATACCTTAAAAGTTTTGAGCAATTTTTCCCTGTTTTCACCCTTTATCCTATCATACCAGTAAAAACGATTTTTCTCAACACAGGAAAGAAAAGAAAAAAATGATCCGTAGCGTGATGAGGGGCGGTATGATGGATAGAATGAGATAAAATATATGACTCCATCACTCGCGTAGAAAAACTAGATGGGTTTATAAAATCGACCTATACGTAGTAGATTCGAAGCGCCACCACCAATAGAGTTTTGAATCTGGAGTCGATTTAACAACTTGTCTGTATTCAGTTTTTGATGCTGAATCTGGAAAAAATATTTTTATAAGCTGAAAAAACAAATAAAGTAGAAAATTTCGCACATTTCGAAAAAGAAGTGGTTTTCTTGAAAAACGACACCTGTCGAGTTTTTCGTAGTTTTCGACTGGAAGGAAGCATTTGCTAAGACTAAAAAGATCAAAAAGTTAGCACTTGAAAAGATTTCCTTCGAATATTTCGGCTCAGGAGTTCGCTAAAAACTTCGGTGAGGTTCCAGTTTACTCAGAATTTGATTCTCTATCGAACTAGCTGATTTCGAAGCAAATTGGTTTCCAGGAGGTTTTCTAGAAAAAGGAAAAAACGAGCCATATTATTGTTGCGTGCGAGACGGCGAATCTTTTAGCGTATAAATGAGCGCGCTAGCTCTTCATCCAAAAAACTAGATAGATGTGTTTTTCTCGAAAAACGACACCTTTCGAGCTTTTCGTAGTTTTCGACTGCAAGGAAGCATTTGCTACGACTAAAAAGTAGATTTTCGTGATCAGTAGCTCACGCTCTATCAAATGATGTAAAAAAACGTGAAAAAAATATTTTTACTTGAATTTTGCGCTGCGGACACCTTAACATTTTTCGCGCTGTTGATCCGGCCTCAGTATTCTGCGTTTTTTTCCACGAAAACTTGGCCAAATCGGAAAAATAAGGTCATATTCGTGATCAGCAGATCACGGCGAACCAGAATATGTGTGTTCAAGAAAGAAAGAAAATCCGCTAAAACTTTCAATTACTGGCGCTTTACGGAACTTGAAGATGTGTTATATAAAAGAAACCGACAGTGTGAGTAAAAAAAGTCGTGATCAAAATACTCCGTGATCGCTTCTATACAATACAAACACTGACAAATCTTACTTCCATTTCACGGGCAACTTGTGCTGATGGTGAAGTGTGTGAAAATTTGCATCCAAAAATTTGTAATTCCAAAGCTTCACCAGCTTCACACTGCAGTTTTCCTTTAAAAGTAAAAAAACCGTATAAATCTGTGGACAGAATACATAGTAGTTTTCTGTCTATTACCTGCCGGTGTGCTGCCCTGGGTCTGTTGTAAATGGCTCCAGCCTAACATTTTAAACGCCATATGTCCTAACTCATGAATGATCTTAGCGGCTATCAGTAAACCATATGAAAGAAAATAATATTCACATTCATCAAGGTAATCTTGTTTAGTATTTGATTTTGCATTTGATGCAGGTATTGGCTGCTGTCCAAACTGAATTAACTAGAAAGAAACAGCAAGAAAATCTATTAAATAACTGTATTGAAAAGCAACTCATTGGGGGAAAACTGAGAAGAGCTCCTACAGAAAAAGCTAGTATTTTTTCCAAAGATCTCCATAATAGAAATGTGCATGGACTTCTTTTTCTGTCCATGAACAGACCAGTCGCCTTGTGTCATATGTCCATGGACGAAAGAAACATTTTGTCCATGAAGTGAACAATTTTTTTCGAATTATTCTACAAAGATGTTATGTATCGTCAACAGATAGAATATAGTATTCCAAATAGTAGCTCCGTTTTACATGCGTGAATATAGCTGAAAGAAAAGACACATAGTTATCGTTTCTCTTTTACTTCATGTGTAGGATAGGATTTCTTATAAATTACATCGACAATAGCTAATTCTCCAATTACAAAATGTTCAGAAAAAACTTTTACAATTCTTTCGTGCCTGCCCATGTCCGTCCACGAACAACATACTGAAATCGAAGTTTGTATATCGACAAGTCCATCTAATGCAAACCTTTATCTACAAATCAATACCTTAACTAGCTTCTTTTTCTAAAGTAGAGTTTTATATTTACTAGTAATCTACCTCTTCATTTAAAACAAAATTGTATTGATCTTTATAAATACCATAGGCTCCACATTGGTAGTTTTTCAAATTTAACTTGACTCTTATATCTTTTGAGCTCATTAATACCATTTTTGGTTTATCATTACGATTTAAAAATAGATCTTTTAATGTTTCTAACTCAGCGGTACTGTACAATGGTGGCTAGAGAAAGCAAAGAGAAAACACGAGTTATTTAGTAATTAATTTCTTTCCTATCGTTTTACCTTTTCATCATAGGGAATATATCTGTCATGTTTCGGAAATACATGATAAAATCAATTCTTCTTTAATTCTTCATTCTTTAAAATGTGATAAACCAAACGAGTAGCTAACATAAATGCTATATTATCTTCAACATATGTTGATTTCACAGGTAGTGCGAAACTATCAACGATATCAAATGGCAACGGGATGTTGGGTGGAATATCATCAATTAAATTAATATTTCTGCATTGTAATCTTAAAAAAAACTCATTTACATCTTGCTTGACTATTTGATAATGACTTTGAAATTTTTTGACTGGGGATTGTTGTTTTGCCATTGTTAAAATCTAAACAGTCAGAAAACAAGGATTAAGTTAGAGAACACGCATCGTTTTCCTACGCAGACAAAGTCAATGAAAATATTGTACATCGTTTCTTAATTGCTAAAAAATTTTATCTTCAACTTATCCAAAGAAAACCGTCAGTTTATATATCATAATGAAACCTGTATGTTTAACACATACTGTGTCGAAACATTAATAACTCGAGCCAACAATTAAAGACTTGGATTTTTTCTTTATCTTTCTAATTAACCAAAATGTCTATTGTATTTTCTTATTTTTTGTAATTCAAAGCACTTTCTTACTATGTGCAACAATATCCTTCCAATTTCAGATGTCTGTGTCAGACAGTCTGACTCGAGAGTGAATTACTTGGCCAGGGTACGCTAAGTCTGCGCTGCTGCAATCAAAGTAAAATCACGGCGATATCAAGGACCTTAGCCTGAAGTTTCAGTCCTAGCCTCCTTCGACCGAATTTAATCTAAACAACAAAGAATGCCCATGAATAGCGAAAACATACTGCTACCATGTTGAATCTTTTATTGGCAACATAGACGATCAATGACAATTAAGACGTATAGATGGCAGTATCTTACAACATACAAACGAAAAAACCAGAACTAGATAAAAGAGCCAGATACGAAGGCACTCTCTCCAAGTGTACAAATACTTATTCACAAAACATACAGTTTCCATTATGATATCTAAAGTGACGGTTTTCTTTGGATAAGTTGAAGATAAAATTTTTTTAGAATTAAGAAACGATGTACAATATTTTCATTGACTTTGTGTGCGTAGGAGAACGATGCGTGTTCTCTAACTTAATTCTTGTTTTCTGACTGTTTAGATCACAATTTGTGGACTTTACATTTCGAAATATAGCGCAGAAAGCGCAACTTTTTCCTCAACCTAATCTGTAAGTACTGAATAGGACAAATGATGTTGGGAAAATTTTTCATTAATATGCATTGGTTACTTCTAACAAAGTTAATGAGCGAAGTTCATGGAATTCATTCAACGAAAAAAATGATAAGATTTGTTGACAAGTTAGGTTTTTTATTTTGTAGTTGTATAATCGCATTTTATCTTCTGTTGTCGGTTCAATAACCATTTTAATAACCAAGCTATTCATTTTTTAATAGGTTTAGTGTTCAAATGTATGTATACCCTAGTGAAACTTCTTGTACCCAAGATCTTGGGTTAAGAAATTTCAAGATCTTGAGTGAAGCCACTCAAGATGTTGCAAGAGCTTGAGTGACAAATTTTCTTTACATTTTGTTTTTATTTATCACAGTCGTAGCCATCGAATATACGACCATATAGAGTCATACATTCTTTCTTAAACAACTATGGTCAAGAAGGAAAAAAATTCTAAGTTATTCTAAGTGTGAAAATATTCGCACTTATATTTGCACAAGAATGTAAAACAAAACGATGATTCAAGAATTTTCAAGATCTTGGTACAAGAAGTCAAGAAATTACAAGATGTTCAAGCTCTTGACTTCTTGAAATTTCTTGACTTCTTATATTTTCCTACCAAGATCTTACTGAAAAAATTCAAGAAGTCAAGATCTTGGTTACAAGAAGTTTCACTAGGGTAGTGCGAACAATTTGTTTCTTTCATACAAATGCCTGTTTCATATATAATTCTATTAAGAAAGTTTGATGAGTTAAGTATTTATATCGACTAATACAACTGAGCAAGAGTAATTGTTAGAGCTATTACCGGTTCATGCTCATTTTTCTATCGAAGAAATAGGTGAACCATCGTCTGATATGAGCTGTTCTCCTTTTCATGATCATAGTCAAAGCGAGATTCTGACAGTATTCGAAGGTGACTGTTCATATGATGATATATAATGACAGAGAAAATGAAAAATTCATGAGAACGATAAGAAAATAAGGGAAACGTTGTGTTGTATCTCTTTCTCATTACATATTATCGAAAAAGAGGGAAAGAAGAGTGTTCTTCAATCATTCAAAAGCATGAAAAGTCCAAAGAGCTGTGAGATTGATTTTATAGCTCCAATAACGACATTATGCAGTTTAAAAATTTCTCATTTGAAGCCAATAAGCCATATTTTTAACACGATTAACAATTATGCATTGGATTCTTAGACACCCTGATCTCAAATTAATGTTAAAAAATACATCTGGTAGAACAATGTTGACACTTTGATCGATCCATTTGAGGGTCCGTGAAGAGTATGTGATCCTAAAGTCCGCTTGAAACGACTTCAGTGAGCCTCAAATAGTCTAGGTAGGCGTAAAATTTTGTGCTCTATCCGATGATAAGAGAATCAAATCCACATACGTCTTTCATCTTCATGAAGTCAGCATATACCGGTCCCATTTGGATCATCTAGTGTTCTATATCTGACTGTATCTGGCGATTTCAATTCACATGATTGTGCTAAAAATTACATTGAGAAATAATTGAGAGTATTAGTTGTTCGTGAAACAATATTACATACAATAAGAGATAAATTATATAATTCTGGAAGTTCAAATGTTCAACAATGTAATGATTTACAGAATGAAACAATTGCTTGCATGAATGGACTATGTCGTGCAGAATTAGGTGCGTTTGATAATCCTGAGGATCCTGTACCATTTTATAGAACATATTGTAATCATTCTCCGCTTGAAGATCCATTTCAAAACAAAACTGGCTTCTTCGATGTAGTTCCACATGGTTATCCGCCGCCTGGTGAAAATATGCATAACTTTTATTATGTTTGTAATCAAAATTTATGTAAAAATCAAGAAACAGTAAATGTAATTCAAAAATTGATTCATGATTACAACACTAATGAACTTCAAGGGCAAGGCTTCCTGCAGCCCTGTCCTCTGTCCATGTACTTTGGTGTGATGATGCCATCTCAAACGGTTTTCCACCGAAACTCAACTGAACCCAATCTTGGACTTGATCGAGCTAGCAAAGGATGTGAACTTCTCCTCACTCTCAAGATTTTTCCTTAGCTACAGATAGTTGCATGGTTGACAGTAGAACGCGGGACAAAATTTTAAGGCACTTTTTCTTTTCCGGATCTTTTTGTCAAGAATAATCCATTGAAGATATTCAAATAGTGCTTTCGATAGCTCTCGGACGGGCTACAGATATGAGATAAAACCATCTTTTCAGCTGCGCTATTTAATATCCTGCTGATAATTACCGTCTATTCCAAAATAGAGTGAACTCTGATATTTGATAGTTGAGTTTCGAAGGGAAGACGCTAGAGATCTGCAGTTTTCCATTCCTGAAAGAAGGCACCATGACAAGTCACTTCATGGAAATATCGGTTTTAGACGCGATGTCTACCTCGGTATATCAGGAGCAGAAAAAAACTCTGAACCATACACATCGTAAAACTCAACAAAGAATACTTTAAGTTATGAAACGATTTTATTTTTGGTTTCCTTATACATCATTCAGTGGCGTATCCAGGAATTCAGCATCCCAAACATTTTTTTCGGATTCAGCATCAAAAACTGAATCAGAAAATGTGTTTTCAAAGGTTTCCATATGTGGTGTCATGAATGGTATACTTCTTTACCATATTCGACCACCTTTATTTTCTTCGAATTTTCACGTCGAATTATTACTGAGATATTTACCAAAAAATGAAAATCAAAAAAAAATTTCGAAACATATATCATTCAACTCGATTTTCGACGCTACACCGAATATAATATCTTTATTGCATAAAAAATGAGTACTGGTGGAGAAAATAGAGAATTACGGGCAGAATTTAGATTTTTTCTTTCCTGATTCAGAAAAAATTTACTTTGTAAGGAACGGATTTTAAAAAAAGCGATATGTAGTTTTGCAGTTCAAATGAAGGCCGATCGAATGGAGCAAGCATCAGAGCTCCATCTCTTAACACAAAAAGTTAAACAGCTTTTTGCGGCGATGCCTTCACTTTGGAGCTATGCTTGTAAACGAATTTTTCCTGCAATGACACTACATATGGAAACCTTCAAAAACACATTTTCTGATTCAGTTTTTAATGCTGAATTCGAAAAAAATGTTTGGAAGCTTGTTTTCGAAACACGAGGGTTTTTTTCGATTTTGAGGCCCTCACAGTATTTCGAATTTTTCCACATGAAAACATACACTGACTAAAAGGCTAAGAGATATTCTTGATCAGTGTGAAATTCTCTATCCAATGATGTATATGGAAACCAAAAATAAAATAGTACTCGATTTTTGAATTACGCGCGCCTTAAAGTTGAAAATAGAAACAGGACTTTGGATTTTACAATGATGAACGATTTTATCCTGAAGAAATCTAAATAAACCGTGTTTATGGCTATCCAACATTTTTAAATGAAAAGTATGACTTCGATTAAAAAGTTGTGATAAGTTTGAATTCACTTGTTATGTAATGATTGTACACTAAATAGGACGGCCGACAACTGTACCTATTAAAGCCTGTGATAAGGAAGTTAACTAATAGTATTCTACTGTGCGTGTAAAATTTGATAATGTGCTTGTTAATAATAGTTGTTTCGGATATATCTGACCACAAACTTTTTCGCCAATTTTAAAGTATCGGACAAGCCAGATCTACAACAGATTGTTTTGAATGCATTGCTAATAGACAATATCGTTTCCTATCAACCGTTTAATTGTTACATTACTCATGAGTAAGTAACTGTCTCATTTTAACAGTTTACTTCATTACATTCCGATAGTGATTAGCAAGTTATCACGATTAGCGTTGCACATAGACAACAAGTTACTCTTAATCGGCTAGTTATGCGTCAGTTTATCGTAGTGAACGATGCTGTAAGCATGTAGTATCTGCGATAATGTCAGCAATATATAGATATTATTACACAAAAAGAGAAAACATTGTTTTATCATAAATTTGTGAGAAGAACTTTTAACAGCACATCGTTGGTTTATTCAAACTAACAATGATGGCAAATAACTGTTTTTATCAATATTTTCGTTTAATCTTCAACAATAATCAATCTGTTAAAGTGATCATGATCTTATGGAATATCACACTATAATATAATACTCCTCTGGATCATTTGCGCTACTGTGTACATGAATCGAATCGAGAAAATTTGAAAAGCTTATTCGGCCGAAACTGACTAAAGATTCAGGCTCTCCATAGGTGACTACTTCCTATACAACAATGTTTAGGTTAAGGTATTTCTGAAAAATTTCACGATGAAGTTTGGTCCTCCATGAATGTCTCAAAAAATCATTGTGCAAAACAACTGGAAATGTTTTTCAGAAGTGCTTCGACCCAAACATTGTTATGTGCAATAGAATCAGCCGTGAAGAGTACGCATCTATTGTCAGTTTCAGTCGAACAAGCGTCTAAAGCTTTTCAGTTTGGTTTATATGTCGCAGCTCACTAAAAATCTGACAGTTCTTATTCTAGATCAAAGAATCGTAAGATCAGAATTGGATACGGGTGTACTCTAAATTTCTGTACAAACAATTGCAATTTGACACAATTATACTTGCGGTTTGTTCAACTGTTAAAATAGCTTTAAAATATTACACAACTGAACCGAACAATCAATCTTTTAAGGCACTAGCGTTGACATAGGATTACTTCGATTATTTAACAGGAAGATATTTGACGAACTAGGTTATTATTAATCTGCATTCGACTAGCAAGACTCTAATCATTATGGTTAGACGACGTAGAAAGCAAACGTGCTAGTTTTTTTTGACACAAACATAAAACTTTGACAAAAGTCACAATTTCATTCACAATAGCTGAATCTTTACCGTACAAATATCGATCAATTTCAATGTTCTGTTCTAAAGTTGACAAAGATAGGCACGCAAGAATGGCACAAAGCGTCTATAACTCATCAGATTTTCATTTTGCATCTAAAGTGGAAGGGAATTATGAAGATACATATTTTGTTCCGTGTATTATGAAAGTGTTGAGCAACTCTTAGTTTATTAAGAAAGTGGATCGAATCTATTACTAGCATTATAGTGTTGAGAATAGTGCACGAAAGAAAGAATTTATAAACAGTTTTTTAAATATTTCAAAGTTGATCCATTTCTAGATGTATTTTTATTGTCATACAGCAATTCGATCGCATTATCCCAAACACATCCAAGTCGTTCTTGTACTTAAGTCATTCAGTTCTATATGATACATTTGTATACGTATGGTTTGTGAAGTCATCGTTCCGTTATGACATGCATACATCGGCAAGTTTACTGTCGCTGATTCTAATTAACTACTGCAAACGATTTGGTACATTTTGAGAGCAGAAGAAGCAGATAATTAGGAACACAAAACTTAATTATACGACTATTAAAAGTATTTTATAAAAAGATTCTTATTTAAAATCAATTTATAAGAAGCAGAACATACAGTCAAGGGATAAGTGAATCAGAATGATGAATGCTACTTGTATGCTAGGCTGAATTTTTCTCTTGTTTTTCATTTCTAAACTGCGTCAAAGGAAAAAATCCACGGTTCTTTTTTTCCTTGTTCTCTTTCCCTTTCACAGTACATAAAAGTGCCCTTTTAAAAGGTAACTACTGTTACCGCTTTATTACTTTGCAAAAGGACTAAAGAAAGAAGGAATTTATTTTGTTTTTAACGACTCATTAAAAAACAAAATACACATGATTAAGAATATTTGCACCGGCGTTCTCTCTGTTTAGTTGGAAAAAACCATTATTATTGTGCTACATCATTTTCATTGAACATTGTAACTTCGCAAGCTAAAAAACAGTCGAAAATTGGTGAAAATGTCAGATGAGAAAGCACTTACTGTCATTTGGCTTAACCGAACTAACGACAGAACAGCTTCTCAGTCAATATTTCTTCATCTCTGTAAGTCTGCTCCATATTTAAATGCATTTCAAGATACAGACACATGCATTGATTACATTGCAAATCTTAAAAATGAAGATAATGACACCACAAATGTTCTTCTTATTATTTCAACTGACACTTTCGTCTCTCTCCAAACGCTTTTACAAGTTTGTGATCAACTTTCTCAGATTACGTTAATTTCTATTCTCTACTCCACAACGACCGCAGATGACAGCGACATACTTCTCCCTTACTATTCACCTACTAAGCCTAGTCAAGTTTACGTCAACCTCCCATCATTATGCAGTCAGCTGAAGAATCTACCGAAAGTACGACGACAGCGGCTTGATAAATCGGGTGATGAATTAGCACTCAATACAATTGATCTACACGCATACATTGCTTCACCAGAAACTGATCAGTCAATTCCGTTGCCTTCGATATCGACCACAATGAAGAGACAAGAAGCACAGTTTCTATATGCCTCTCTTTTGAGACAAATTTTAGTTGACCTAGAGTCAAACGTCGAGGAAATGGTTAACTTCTGTCGCGTGATATACGTAGATAATGATACAGAACTGAACTACATCGAAGAATTTGAGCAGTGGTACGAGGCAGACAATGCTGTCTTTTGGTATACACGTGATACATTTTTGTATCGAATGTTGAACAGCGCTCTGCTAGAACAAGATATCGATAGACTCTATTCAATTCGATACTTCATTAAAGATCTCCATTTACAGTTACAGCAATTATACACCGACTCTCAACAGGCTACAAACCTGAATACTGTATATCGAGGTCAATTAATGAAAAATAAAGAATTCGAAACAATGTCGGTGGTTTCTTCTCCGTCAGCGGTTTTCTTTCGACAACTCTAGATAGAGACTGCGCAAGTCAATATGCTGGGGATGGAAGTAGATGTGAACAGGAACAAAGTGTTCTGTTTCAAATTGACATTGACAGAAGTGTGAACAAATTTCCCTACGCAGATATTTCCTTGAACAGTGCATTTGGTGAAACTGAAAAAGAAATTTTGTTTAGTATGGGCGCTATATTCCGAATTGAAGCTCTTAGTGAAAGTAAACCAGGCCTATGGATTGTAAAACTGAAGTTAACCGGAGAGGAAGACAACGAATTGCGACAACTAACAGAGTATATGGCAAAGAAAATCTTTGTTGTCAGTCCTTTGTACAGTTTGGCCAGATTGTTATTGGAAATGGGAGATTATAATAGAGCTGAGCAAATTTGTATTCGACTGTTGAAAGATGAATGTATTACGAAAAACTGGAAGAGTCTTGCTGGCGTACACAATGCCCTTGGTCTCATTATCATCAGACTGGAGATAAAGTGAAAGCAATTGAACATTATGAGAAATCAATTGAGTTGCAATCTGAGACCGCCATAGCTACTCTCGTACCACCGTACGCTAACTTGGCCAGTCTCTATGACGAAGACGGTCAGTACGAACTGGCAGATACGTATCAAATCAAGGCGCTGCAGATTGTATTGAGTAGTCCCAATAGAGATCAAATGCATCTTGCAAATTGTTACAATAAATTTGGCGAAGCATTTCGCGAAGAACGTCAGTTTGAGAAAGCGCTCCCGATGTATAAAGCAGCTCTAGCAATCTGGCTGAAATATTTACCGGCTAATCATCCTAACATTGCAACTGTATACAATAACATTGCTACTCTTTATTCTGACCAGGAGCAATACGGTGAAGCCATTTTTTACTATAATAAAACGCTTCAGTTACAAATTAATACTCTACCAGAGAATCATCCAGAATTTGCTGTTACATATCATAACCTGTCAAAAGCATTCTTCCGACAAGAGAAGTTGATTGAAGCTTTAGAGCATATAAGAATGGCATGCAAAATAAACTCACTTGTTCTCCCAATCGATCATCATCGTGTGATAGAGAGCCAACAGTGGCGTGATGAACTGGAAGCTCAACATAGTTATTCAGAAGGAGACTACGCACGTGCCGAGGAATTTTTGAAAAGAAGAGTCGAAGATGAAGTTAAGTCACTTCCAGCCGATCATGAAGATCTGATACTACATCGTTTTACTCTTGCCAGAGCACTCTATTATCAAGAGAAATTGGAAGAAGCGTTAGAACATATGAAAATTGCGTACACAAGTCGATCTGCAACTCTCCCAGCTGATCATCATACTGTCATCCAATATCGTAAATGGCTTCAAGGAATTAAAGCGACAATTAAAGAATATGAAGAAAATACCGATGTCGAGAAGACAAATAGTTAGCTGAATTCTGCTAATCATCTTTCTTTATGTGGGTGAATAAACTCAATCTATTTAAATGAAAAGAAACCAGAGGGACAGATCACTACTGTAATACGAAAGAGGAGAGAGTACAGTACTGCTATAAAGATCATAGTAATAGAATTTTGGCAAAATTCACACACTTTGATTTTATTATTCGAGTTTTCGAAAGCTTTTGCTTTGATCTTCAGGAAAAAACAAAATGACAAAACTATTGAGAAATAGGTTCAAAGTGCATAAGAGAGAGAGAAAGAACAAAAATGATTTGTACACTAATTGAAACGCTCAACGGACATATTTAATTTAATATTTAATATTAATTTATAAATAGCGTTGAGCGTTTCAATTAGTGTACAAATCATTTTTGTTCTTTCTCTCTCTCTTATGCACTTTGAACCTGTTTCTCAATAGTTTTGTCATTTTGTTTTTTCCTGAAGATCAAAGCAAAAGCTTTCGAAAACTCGAATAATAAAATCAAAGTGTGTGAATTTTGCCAAAATTCTATTACTATGATCTTTATAGCAGTGCTTTCTTCTCTTTCGTGTTATAAAAACTACTCTACCTAAATCATTCACTACTGTAATCATTTGAGCGTTGATTCTGACTAACTGCATAGAGATCCAATATTCATTTCAAATTCGAATGTTCAAAAGAAAAATACGTAACTTATATTCTTCTTCCTGCCAGAAAGAAGAATATAAACTTCAGAAGATAAGAAGCAAAACGGTTTTGCTTCTTATCTTCTGAAGTTTTCTATACTGCGTAAGTAAGTGTTCTCTGTTGTTCTCCGTTAAACAGAGAACACTTAACAGAGTCTGTTTTATGAAACTGCATTGAACGTCTTCTGCATGACACACTTTTGTGCTATTATTATTAGTTTGAGGATTACCACACCGTTGTGAACTGTCGAATTGTTGAAAAAGTGCGTGATACTGACTGCTTGAGCTTTTGTTGGAAAACAACTCTGCTTTAAGCGCCTTTAATGCTAAATTTAGAAAAAGGTGGTCAGCATAGCAAGTGTAGCGTGTAGCATTGAACATGCAAAAATGGATCTGATAATTTAAATTTTCATCATGAAAATGTAGGTTGGAAGCGAAAAGGTGTGTTTTATTAATTAATTATAAACCACTAAAGTCTGGAGAAATTCGATAAAAATAACTTTTGAAGTTCTACTGTGGGATCCAAGGGCCGAAAATTTATTTTCTAAATTTTTCACAAATCTGAATCAACAGTTTTGTTCAGAATTCGATATGACCTTCTCTTCTGCTACTATTTCCGCTAAAAAGTTTAGCAAAAGGGAGAGCTTAGTTTATGTGTGGTACTTTCAAATATGCTCTTTCTCGTGGTCTGACTCGTGGAAAGACGTTTTTAGAGCATATGTTGTGCTCGAGAACGAAGTTATAAAACTACATCAAAAGTTGACAATCGCCCCGTTTCCAACAATACGCTCAACCACGAACGGAAAAGATGATTGATTTTGCAGTTAGATAGAGAAGAACAATCATTTCTGATCAAAACAAAGCAGACCCGACCGAAAAAGCTTTTATTTTGATGGGGTTATGGGACCTTTACTGAAAGCACTACTATACCCAAAATTTAAAAAATTAATGAAAAAATCCATGACAGCCGATCGAAAACTATTATTTCGCTGTGACTTTTGATGTGAAAAAATCCGAAGTGTAGTTGAAAGATAGAGTGAAGTCAGGACTACAAAATGGCTAATTCAATTTCTCTTACTTTGAAGACATTAACACAAGAAATAATTTTTGAATTTAAAAAGTTGACATTTTTTTCGACTTTCATCTAATTGGCTTAGTTTTCTTGATTGAAGCTCTGAAAT